GAAAAAGAAAAAGAGAGAGAGAGAGAGAGAGAGAGAGAGAGAGAGAAGACAAAGGAAAAAAGGCTACAGTGAAAATGCTAGGCAATAGGAGTTGTCCAGATTCACTCTACTCTTCGAGGCTCTCCACTGCATATAGACTGTCACTGACAAAGCGTCATTACACAGCACATGGCTACAGCCCTCAAGCACACAAGACAAGAAGGGAGAATGCTTAGGTTGGAGAGAGGGGTGCTTTTGTCTGTTTTCAGAGCTGAGAAAAAAGGCTACAGTGAAAATGCTAGGCAATAGGAGTTGTCCAGATTCACTCTACTCTTCGAGGCTCTCCACTGCATATAGACTGTCACTGACAAAGCGTCATTACACAGCACATGGCTACAGCCCTCAAGCACACAAGACAAGAAGGGAGAATGCTTAGGTTGGAGAGAGGGGTGCTTTTGTCTGTTTTCAGAGCTGAAATATTGTAAATGATCACCAAGTCAACATCCCACCTATAGTACCTAGCAGAACTCAGGTGGATTCAGAAGGCAAAGGGCGGTGGGGGGGGGAAGCCCAGTTGTGTGGCCTCAGATATCCAGCCTAGATGCCATCCCATGCAGTCCCTGACAGTCCAAAGCCACCATAAATGAAGCTGTACATCTGCCAGCACACCCGGGTGACCATACAGCATCTCACACCTTCTAATGTCCTGGGTAGTGGGGTGCAGAGCCCAGAGCGAAGCAGGATCTCCAGAGGTGAGACCCCATGAGGCAGAGGAGGAGGGGGCTGCAGAACAGAGGGATCAGGTGCCAGAGAGCAGAGGGTGAAGTGAAAAGAGACAGGAAAGAGGGGCCAGCAGGGTGTGGAATGAGGCAGCTCGGGCATCAGGGGTGGGCACTGGGGACAGGCCCAACAGGAAGAGGGAATCCCTGGCTCTGCACCCGCAGATGGTAGGGAAAGGGGCCCTCTGGATCCCAAAGCCTGGTGAAATGGCTGCTCATCCTCCATGTATCTCCAGGCCAAGGCCCACCCAGCCCCTCACCAGAAGCAGAAGAAGACCTTATCAACCATTTCTGCTCTTGTCCAGCCCTGGAGAGCCCCAGAAGCCTCCTTGTGTCCTGCCCCTGCCACCACCACCCACCTCCTCATCTGTTCCCAGCAAGCATGGAAAGAGGTGGGCACCGGAGACCAGACTGGGTTATCTGGAGAGAGAGAGCCTGGCCCTGGATCTGACATGTTACCATTAGTAAAGCCAGGTCTTGCCTCGGGCATGGAAACTAGTCCCTGGAGGCAGAGACAGCCAGAGACAGGCCTGCGGCTCTTGGGGACTTACCTTCACACCATCGTTCTTCTTGTTTCCCCCACTCTTCCCTCCTGTGGAGGAGAGAAAGTAGAGTGTTAGCAGCACCAGGCAGGGCACCAGGGCCCACAGTGTGAGGAAGAGCAGCATTCATGCGCAGCAGAAGAGCCGCAAGTAGCGGACAGTAGACGGTGTGGAAATGGAGCTGGCTCAGCAACCAGGGAAAGACCTCTTCCTCTTCTTCCTCCTCCTCTTCCTCCTCTTCTTCTTCTTCCTCCTCCTCCTCCTCCTCTTCCTAGTCTTCTTCCTCCTACACTCTCTTCATCGGCCCACAGAGTGGGCCTGGGATCTCCAGTCCTCAGTAATCTCAGGGATAACCCTGTGACTTCTGGGTTTGAGAGAGGTGTCCAGTGTGTTCCAGAACCATGGGGTTGCTGTTTTAGCCTGGGGATTCCCTCTGGATCACTGTCACCAATGTTGCTGGTGGCCAACCCAGAGGCCTGAGGCCTGACTGGGGGCTGGAAGCTCCCCGCTCTCCGCCCGCCCTCCCTGGCCCTCTCTAATTTTAGCCCCATGCTGCTGTGGAGGTCATGTGTCAGCCCTGCCTACTCACTCTAGACAGCTGCAGGCTGCATTTTGCTGGTGACAAGAAGCAGATGCCCCCTGCTGGGGCCCACCCCTGCCAGAGCACCCAGCCTCTGCCTTGCTTCTCAGCAGCAAAGGCCTCCCCAGACTCTGCCTTTGGAGCCCTACTCCTCATGGGGCTGGCTGTGTCCTGTGGCAGGCAAGAGCCCAGCCAAAGCTCTGAGGGAGGCTTCCCATCACTCATTTCCTTTCCCTCCCTCCTCATTTCCTGGCTGGAGCCCTGGCAGTGGGCATGAGTCAGGAGGGAGTGAATGCCCAGCCCCACCCTGCCTGGTAACTGGCTACTTCAGACCTTAAGCAAATACCTTAAATGAAACAGGATTCTATGAAGTATTTTAGCATAGTATTAAGCCTGTATACAGTTGGTGCTCAGTAAATGGCAGCCATAATTCGTCCTTCTTCAGGAAGTCCCAGGATGATGGAGGGGCTACAGGGGCTCTGAGGGGTGAGCTCACAGCTGGCTCAGCTCCCAGTCCCTCCACAGCTGAGAGGCAGGGGCTACTTCTGTGCCCTAAGTCTGAGAGGAATGGTGTCTGTCCCCTACAGGCTGACTGGGTGAGACCAGGATAAACAGGAGTGGGCAGGAGTCTCTCAGCTCCAGCCCACTGCTATGTTACACAGGGTATGTCCAAGGTGGCCAGACTGAGTTTCTTTCTAGAGTAGACCCAGGCTGGCTTTGAACTCGCCGTGTAGCTGAGATGCCCTTGTTCTGATCCTCCTGCCTCTACTTCCTGAATGCTGGGATTACAGTCATGTGCTACCACACATGCTTCTTGTTGTTTGTGTTTGTATATTTAGGTGTGCACACCCAAGTGTGTACATGTAGAGACCAGAGGGAGGCTAATGTTGAAAATCTTCCTTGATCACTCTTATTTTTGAGACAGGGTTTCTCCCTGAACCCAAGCCCCCTGTCTCTGTCTCCCAGCATTTGGATTACACACATCACTGCAGACTTAGCTTTTTACATGGGTGCTGGGGATCCGAATTCATGTCTTCATGCATGCACAGCAAGCACTCTACCACTAAGTCATCTCACTAGCCCCCAAATCTCTAAATTTATAGTGTCTAGAAATCTATCCTCAAATTCCAATTTTTTTCTTCTCTCTTTTTAATGGCAGTCAAGTACAGGTCTAAAAACCCTTCTTAAATGGTCCTGGCTCACCAAACCATGGGCCCCCATTCTGTTGGTTCCAGATTGGTGTTTTCCAAAGTGCTGCAGTTGTTTGAGAAAGACTATCTGAGCAGCTCGGGTTTCAGTATAAGGAACGGCTGGATCCTTGTTGAGGGATGTTCAGTGAACAGGAAGCTACGTATATCCCTTCCCAACCATCAACATGTAGGTGGACCCTCCTAGAGGACCCAGGCCTTCACCCTGCTTAGAGGTGACCCCTGGCAGCCATCAGCTGTGTCTGTGCAGGCAGCTGTCTGTGTTGGCCCAGCCCCTGTGCCAGGGCCCCTCAGGTGAACTCTGCCATGTCTACTGTTTATATCTGCTCTACTGCCCCATCAGCACCTGGGACTCCCCAGGGACCGGCCTTAGATGGCACTGGCCAGGCACTGACCTACATGCCAAGAGGAGTTGCTTGCTAAGCCCAGACAATAATCCCTTCCCCTTCTCTGTTTGAATCCACATGCCCAAGTACTTTGGTAGTCCCAGCCTTAACCAGCCCAGCTTTGGATAGGGGCCTGAGAGGTTCCTGCCCTGGTCTTCTGGGTAACCTGACCTGGTTAAGAGCACCTGCTCTAAGAGGCAGATTCTACCTCTCTTTGACCCTGAGACCCAGTGTGAGAAAGAGCACATTTCCCTAAGCTTCTGTCTCCCTACCTGGGAAAAAATGACAGCCTCTACCGCCTCGTCACGAAGCCTCTTGAGCTGAAACTAAGGGCTCTAACAGTGGTGCTCCATAGGCCTGGCTACTTCCTGCTGAACTGGACCCCAACAACTGTCTTCCCCTCTGACTGACCTGAGAACCCCAGCGTTGCTGTGATACTGTGAAGTCAGACTGAACCTCTAACTGGGCCTTGGCTTCCTGATCTTTGATCTTTCTTCTTCTCTTTCTTTGTGCTGATTGTGGAAGGGGAGCTAAGCCTGAGTCATGGAGTCCTCTGCAGCTCCCTTTCTGGAGACATCCCAGTGCACCACATCCAGCAGACCAGTGCAAGGATGTATTGGGGACTCCAATCCCACTACCTACCAGAGAAGTTCCTGGTGGCCAGCATAGTGGTGAGAATGGCTCCCTGCAATAAACAAGAGGGACCGGGGAGGAGGCACAGGTGAGGAAAGGAACAGAAACAGGAACAGGAAGGCACAGGGAAGAGCAAGCAGTGTGCCCTTCAGAGAAAAGCCAAAGCCTCTGCCCCTGCTCCTCCATTCAACTGTACCCAACCCTACAGCCCAGAGCCCATCCCATCTCCCAGGAGAAGTCAGCTTTGGCTGGCACAGCTCTTGGGACAAGACCATCTCTGCAGCAGATATTAATAGGTTCCACGGCCTGGCCAAAGCCAATTGACTCAAGGACACCTACCAGCAGAGTCTCCTAAAGGCCATGGAAGTTTCCTGACTGGTTAGGGAAGGCAGATAATGCTCCTGACGCTGGGCTTGAAGTACCTGGCTCCATGATCAGTCCTTCTCTCCATGGCCCCTGGGCTCACACCCAGGAGGATATCAGCTTGGAGAAGTCATCTCTGTCAGCGAGGGTGTAGGGACCAGGAACCAACTGGTCCTGGCGTTGTCTGATTTAGATCTGATTCAGCCAATCTCTAAACCCAATAGCCTCTCGCGTGTTAAGAATCCACAATTCCCACTCTGGGAGATTTCCTTTCTCTGTGACATTTTCCACTGTAGTGTGGGAGCTGGACTCAGTTCCCCTGATACTGTACCAGTCATTGTTCTTTTGTTCCCACCCTGAGCCCCCATTCTAGATCTAGGAGCAATAGGTGAGGGTGTTTCCGATGAGCCAGAGCCTCTACCACACCATCCTCATCAGAGGCACAGCACAACCCTCCTGACCCTGAAGAACACAGGGCCTGCTAAGAAGGTACAGCTCAGGGACCACCTAAGTCCCATAGTGGCTTTCTCAGGGCTGCCAACCCACCTCTGAGGGAATCGACCATTCCTCCTCCTCACTCAGCAGCTGATGCCTCTCCCTCCACTGTGTTCTCTTGCCTCCCAAAGCACTCTCAAGCCACTCGGGGTACCCTCAAGGTAGCGCTCACACTTCTAGATATCTAGGTAGGCCCATCACTCTGTCTGGAACACCTTCCTCTTGTTACGCTACACTGTGCTAATACTTTAAAGATCAACTCAAATTCCATTGGCTCCAGGAAGGCCTCCTGAGATCCTTTCCAGAACCCTCCAGATCAGGGAGTGGCCCTGCCCTGCTGTGTTCCCAACTATCAGACACAGCACTCATCATGCCCTGTATGTGTCATCTGCCCCCCACAGTATCCTGATTGTCTGTGCTCTTAACCAGACCACAGACAGGGTGGGGGCAGAGGTCAGATTCACTGCTTATTCCCCACAGCCCCTGCTGTCCAGCATGCAGGAATGTTCAATAAACACATGTGGAATTGATGAAAGAAAGACCCAGTGCATCCAAGGGTGCCAAGGGTAAGGACCTGTTACCTTGAGTTTCCTCCTGGCATTGAACTTCTTCAGGCAGTCCACGGTCTCCTGTCTGTGCATGCAGGAGGCCACGGTGGATCGGTGCTAGATGGGAGGATAAAGGAGTGTAAGGAGAAAGACCTACTGGAGGACAGACCCAGCAGCTTGGGGATGACAGCCCTTTGTTCTACCACAGGGTGTGGAATGGTTAGGATCCTGGCACCAGACAGCCAATGTCAATGACACCCCTGGTAATGATGCCAACCCAGAATAGCTCTCATTTCCATATTGTCCCTGAGATCCACAGCAGGCCAGAGACTCTTGGATAAGCCCTCTCAACCCCACACTGGAGCTTTGGGACCAGGGTCAAAACCGTGAAGGACCAAGTCCCTGAGGTCTACAAGGCTCCTGGGCAGGCAGGGCTGGTAAAGGCTTACCGAGATCCAGGGGTGTTTGAGGGCCTCAGCAGCTGTAATACGTTTGGATGGATTGATGGTCAGCATCTTATTGATCAGATCCTTAGCTTCTGGGGTGACAGTGTCCCATTCCGGTGAGGGGAACTGGAAGGGGCAGAGGGGCCAGGTTTGCCTAGCCTGCCCCAGGCCACCCCTGCGATCCTCCAGCCCCTGACTGGCAGGGGAGCAGGCAGGGGTTCTTATGCCCAACCCCTTGGGTATCCATAACCAAGAGGGGGCTCCTCCAGACCAACAGAGGGACCAGAGCCTCCTGACCCCAGGACAGCCCAGCACATTCAGAGGGAAAGGGAGCTCTCTCTGTCCTTCTGGGTTGGGCCATGTAATCCTAGTCCAGATTACAGAGTGAAGAGGCCTGAGTTCAAGTCCTGCCTCTGCTTTCCAGGCTGTGAGATCTGGGAAAGTCATAGAGTGAGTCCACAGACCATCATTAGGGGCACTGTGTGACTTAAATATCACATAAAATGTTTGATGGATCCCAGCCTTGCAGAAAGGCAATGAAGGAGGCTTGGTACAGGTGCCAGAGCCAGACTGTGGGTTGCAATCCCACTTATTTAACCTCTCTGTGCCTTAACCTCCTTGCATGTATAATGGGGGGTAACAACAGTGACTATGCCACAGATTGAAGCGGGAAGTAAATGTAATCATATATGCAAATTATTCAGAAGATTTTTACATTTATTTAGGATTATATATAAGAGAGAAAAAGCATGTTTCAGAGTCAGGTGTGGTGGCACACTCCTATTATCCCAGCATTTAGGAGGTGGAGGCAGGATGATCAGGACTTCAAGGACAGCCTGGGCTACTTGAGGCACACACACAAACACAAAGGCTCAAGACCTGTCCCTGACTCCATCCCACTTTGGTGCTGCTTCTATCCTCTGGAGCTCCATGGGACACATCACACTACTTTCAGGCCCTAATCATTAGGCATCAAGTCATGGCCTGGCTCTGATGGTCAGTCTTGGAGCATTGCTGGGCTTCATCCCCTGCCTCAGAGGTAGAGAGCAGTGACAAAGGGGCCTAAGTAAGCTGGGAGGCAGGAGAGTGCATCCTTAGATCTCTGGCCTCTTGGGCCACTGGCTGTCACTAGAAGTGGAACATTGGCTGGAGAGAGGAGTGACACTCACATCATAGGCGCCAGCTTTGATCTGCTGGTACAGGCGGTGCTGGTCCTCATCCCAGAATGGGGGGTACCCAACCAGCAAGATGTACAGGATGACCCCTGGGGAAGAGGACCAGGAGAAGAGAGATAAAGGCAGGAAAGTGATGGGAAAGGGAGAGGAACCCAGCTGCTTGGACAGCTGGGGGACAAATAGACCTTGGGATGGACTTACCACAGGCCCACAGGTCCACAGGCTTCCCGTATGGGTCCTTCCGCAGCACTTCTGGGGAGAGGTATCCGGGTGTCCCTGCGAACCCTGCTCCCCAGACACACAGACAGGCAGACACACACACAGAGGTTGGCACGTGAGTAGCCTGGAGCAAGACCCTGCAGGAGAGGGACGAGGATAGCCCTGGAGCTGGAGAACACAGCCCTGCCCCAAAGTTGGGGTTGTACTGTGCAACCCCAGGGGCTTTGGTAAGCTAGTGAGACCTCTAACTTCAACTGGACCAGAGAAACAGGAACACAGCCCACCTGCTACCCACTCCCTACTCCAGAGCCTCAGGTGGAGAGCAGTAATCAGTGACAGAGCTCCTTCTCACTGGGTCACAACCTTCCCAGCAGTTGCTACCTGTCATTTGCTGGTGACCTTTAAGAGCTGAGGCCTTGTCTACTCCCTGCTTAAGACCAACTTATGAAATGTCAAGGGGACCTGGTCCTAACTCTAGCTAAATCCGTGTGTGTGCGTGTGTGTGTGTGTGTGTGTGTGTGTGTGTGTGTGTGTGTGTGTGTGTGTGTGTGTGTTTTACCTTCCAGGCTTCAGTTTCCTCATCTGTCAAATGAAGGCTACTGCCCTTAATAGCCCCCACTATTGAGAGGATCACTTGGAAAGACAGACTTGCATGTATGTAAGCGCACCCATGTGGCACAATGTCCATGGTGGTCAGAAGAGGGTGTCAAATTCCCCTAGAACTGGAGTTACATATGGTTGTTAGCGGCCATGTGGGAGGTGAGAATCGAACCTGGGTCCTCTGCAAGATCAGCCAGTGCTTTTAACTCCTGAGTCACCTCTCCAGCCCCAAGATATCTTCTTTTAAAAAATGTGTATGTGTGGGTGCCTATGTGAATTTATATGCATGCAGAAGCCTGCAGAGGCCAGAAGAGGGTGTTGGATCTCCTCTTGGAGCTGGATGTAGTTACAGGTAGTTGTAAGGGCCATGTAGGTGCTGGGAGATGAATCTGGGTCCTCTGGCAAGAGCATTAAGTGTTCTTAATTGTTGAGTCATCTCTCCACTGCCCCCACCCAGACATCTTAACAAGTCATCTCAGCAGCAGTTACTAGTTGCTGCAGAGGTATGCTAAGCCTTGGCTGGGCACTCCACATGCCTACTTTTGGTTACCCTCTCAGACTCCCTGCAGGGCTTGATGCTATTCTCATTTTGTAGACCAGGAAACCAGGGCTTGCTGAAAAACACACAGCTTATAAGCTGCACAGTCAGGACTTGAACCCAAAGCTGTGAGGTTTTTATTATTATTATTATTATTATTTTATGTGTATGTGTGTATTGGCTGCATGTAGGTAAGTGCACCCATGTCGTGCAATGCCCGCAAAGGAGAGAAGAGGCTGTCGGATCCCCTGGAACTGGAGTTACGGACAGTTGTTAGCTGCCATGTGGGTGCTGGGATTCAAACCCAGGTCTTCTGCAAGAGCAGTCAGTGTTCTTAGCCACTGAGCCATCTCTCCAGCCCTTTCTTTATTAATTTTTGTGTATAAGTGTATTGCCTGCATGTGTGTAAGTGTACCCCTGTCATGCAATGCCCACAAAGATCAGAAGAAGGCTTCAGATCCCCTGGAACTGGAGTTGCAAACAGTTGTTAGCAGCCATATGGTTGCTGGGAATCAAACCTGGGTCCTCTGCAAGAGTAGTCAGTGCTCTTAACTGTGGAGCCATCAGTCCAGACCATTTTTGTTTTTCTAAACAGGGTTTCATGTATACAGCCCAGGCTGGCCTTAAACTCTCAAGTTTTCTTGCTTCTACCTCCCAAGTGCTGGAGGGAAATCCTACCACACCCAGCTTGAGGGTTCTGGTTGTTAACCACTGGTCAATGTTATTCACTAAAAAGTAGCTCCAGAGGGAGGAAATGTGCCCCATTTTTCCAAATCCTGAAGCATGCTAGGTCACCTGCACTCAAATCCCAGTGTTCTACACCTGTCAAGCTCCCCTGACATTTCCCAAGTAGCTTAGCCTGCCCCTGTCCTCTGTAGCACTGGGATCTTGACCACCAGCATCCAGGAATAAGAGGGGCTACATGGGGTCCCTGTCAACCTGGAGGTGTATGATCCCATAAAGACAAAGCATTATCTGATTGGTAATGGCATTGTGCCCACATCTAGCTCCCAGGGAAAAATTTTGGGCACTGCCCACTGGCCTAGAGACTAGCAAGATATGGCCTGTGCTCCCTGGACGTTGGTTGGCCAAGTAGCCATCTCCAGGCCACACAAGCTTAAGTGGAGTGGTCCCAGGAACACATATGTCATCCAAAGACTGCCTCTCCCCTCCCTGCCACTCCATGCCCCACTCACCAAACCATGCCTGTTGCTCCCCTTCCACCTCTATGGCCAGGCCAAAGTCTGCCAGCTTCACAGCAGCACCCTTGAGCTTGGAGGCCAGCAACAGATTCTCAGGCTTCCCAGAACACCAGGGAGAGACAGAGGGAAAGAGACAGGCAGCAGTTTCAAAACCTTACATGCAGCCTGGGCTTACAGAGAATGTCTGGACCACCCAGGGTCCCACACCCCACCTTCAGCCCCAGTCCAAGTATCCTGGGTTCCTGTGCCCAGAGAGGGGACTATGGCAAGACCTTCATTTCCTGCAGCAGCAACACTCTTCCTCCCACAGCCTCCTCTTTATGGAGAGCTGAGGCTGAGGGGAGATGGGACAGGGTGGGGTGGTATAGCACAACCTCCCTGAGGAAGCAGCGGCAGCTCTTAGTGCCAGCACTGGGCTTGGTCTTCCATCAACCCCTCACTAGCCATCCCAATGACCCCTCAGGCAGGTACTAGCACCATGCTTCCCACAGTGACCTGCTTTCACCCCTTGAAACAGTCCTCTTGTTCCCACCTCAGGACCTTTGTACTGCCTATGCTCGCCTACTTGGCTGCTCTCCTCTCGAACTTCTCTTTGTCCATCTCTCAGCCTCATGCCAGCCCTGCAAATAGGCCTTTCTCCACCACTCCACCCTAGCTCCTGTTGAACCAAGTGTTTATCCTAAGTATAAGATGAATTAAGCCTCAGAGGGATTAAATGATTTGAGCCAAATCACACAGTTGTTAAATGATAGAGTCTGAATCAAGGCAAAGACTGACTGTCTTAATACCTCCAAGCTGAAAGATGATGGGACCTGGGTATGGGGCAGCAGGTCCCTATCATTTTTGGACTCTGAACAAAGTAACTCAGAGTATGATTTCCACACTTAGACAGTTTGGGCTTCTGAGACCTATGCTGCCACTTAGACTGCAACCTGGCCAAATGATTTCCCTTCTCTAATGGTTAGTTTCCTCAGAGAAATGGGACCAGTGCCTACTTATAGCATCACATCTAAATGTGTAAATAGTGGTGCTGAGGGGGTCACTTGATGAACACCAGGCCCCAGAGCTCAAACTGCCTGGCAGAGAGTAGGGCTGAGCCCCCCAGGAGACAGCTGATGTCTAGTGTGGCTATGACCTTTCCTCAGCAGGACTTCCAGAGGCCCCACCTGATGTTTCCCTGCCCAAAACTACCAAGGCTAGTCAGGGCCTAAACAAATACGCTCCTTCCACCTGGCTTGGTAAAGCCTTCCTTTGTCCTCTGGGACTATGTTCCCAACATATTCTGTGTCTCAGTAGTGTCCTGCCCTGATTTGATGAATGTGCCACTAATTAGTGTTTCCAGAATGGCCTAAATCTGGGTCGCTTCCTTCACCTTCCAGAGCAGGGTCTGTTGCCAGAATGGGAACAGGCCCGTGGGGAAAGCTGCCCTGCCCTGTGGCCGAGACCCTTTTCTTGAGACCACCTACTTGTTACCAAGGTACAAGGAGATCACCTGGGCACAGGTGAAAACTGAAGGAGGGCCCAAGGCAGTCAGAAAAAGGTAGGGACCCTTTCCAGAGCACTGTGTCCTGGAGAAGGACAGGGACAGATAGGAGTCTGACCAGGGAAGCTGCCCAAGGTCAGAAGGGTCTGGAGTCGATCCTGGTAGGAATGTGGGTTACAGCCCTGCAAATCTTGGGGAGTAGTCTTCAGGGGCTCTGGGGCTCCTAGGTCCTTCTGGATTCCAAACTGGGGTTGCAGGTAACATGCTCACAGCAAGAATGAGCGAAGGGGTGTGCTGTAATGGCTCCAAGAGCTACCTTCTAGGCAGTAAGCACACTGTCACTGATGGTCAAAAGTAAAGGCTCCCAGACGCCTGGAAGGTGTGTCCTGAAGAAGCTACTACAGAAACTAAGCTGGATTAAATGGTTTTCTGGACCTAGACTCAGGGGTGGGGGGAGTCCCAGGCTCTGGGGTGGAAGCAGGCCAGGGATACTGGTCCTTGCTAAGACTCTGTCCTTGACACACTCCTTGGATTCTCTCAGCCTCAGTTTCCTGTTCTGTAAAATGAAGCTATGAGCTACTGACTGCTGATGACATGAGGAGAGGAGATCCATGAGAGTCGTACGGACTGGACAAGCATGCAGCCCACGCCAACCCTAGAGTGCTTAGTGCTGTCCCTGTCCTTCAAGCAGACAGAGAGAGGGCACAGAGGGCCCTAAAGCCCTGCTCTTTTCTTCTGCTTGCCAGAGACCCAGGAGCAAGAATGCGGATACAGTGTGTCTGAATCCCAGGCACTGTGGGGTCTCCGTTGACAGCTTCAGCAACAAAGGAGCAGTGGTTGCCATGACAACTGCCCTGCGAGGCAAGCAAGTTAAGATAACCCAGGCCAAGTTGCTGGAAAGCAGCAGATTTGGTTCTGGGCCTTGCCAGCCTCTTTCCTACCCCACACTGCAGGCTAAGTCTAATGTGCCTCACCTGCCTGGCACAAAGGATATGGGGCCTAAATCCAGCTGTCCTATCTTCCTAAGAGCCCTGACAGCTGGGAAACACTGCCACCCACCTCAAGTGAAAGAATTAAAGGGATTTTGGTAGCAGCCCCTGTTGGAGGAGGGGCATGCAGAGGCAGAGAGCCTGAGCCCAGTGGCTCCTCCATGGTTACTCACCTTCAGGTCCCGGTGCACCACCCCCATCTGGTGACAGTGCAGCACAGCCTCCAGGATCTGCTGGATACAGTGACTGAGAAGAAAGAAGAGGGGTTAGCCTGGGGCAGACCCCTTGAGAAGAGTGCCCTGCCTCCAGGCACCTAAGCCAGCCTGCAACTGACACTCACCTGGCATCAGCCTCGCTGTAATACTCCCGGGCTACAATATCTTCAAACAGCTCCCCTCCAGTGACCCTGGGGAGACAGGCATGGAATCACCCTCCCATTGAGACTGCAGGTGCCACCTGGCCTAGAGGAGTCTTCTGGAAATCAACTGAGAAGGGCAGGGCCAGGGACCTCAGACTCTCAGTCCCCAAAGGAAGGACTGGGCCATGAATGCCCTACTATAGCCCCTTCCTGTCTGTTGGCACAGACTTCCTTCCATGACCCCTCCCAGTCCCTCTACTTGGCCCTGGCTATGAGGCAGTGGCTCAGAAACCATCATTGTGTCCAAGAGGCTCCTGAAAGCCTATGGTTTTGCTTGGCTTACATATTTTCACTTTTCTGTTTGTTTTATAATCTTTATTTTGGGGAGTAGCTTTGGGTTCCCAGAAAATTTGAGTGGAAGGTACAGAGATTTCTCATGTGCTCCTGCCCCAACGTACATGCCCAGTGCCCAACATTCCAGGCACTGGGTTTTGCAGACTAGCCCAGCATCCTCACTGATTCTCCTGCCCACTCAGGAACCACAGAGGCCTGTCGTTTCATTCTTGCTTTAACAAACCAGATTCCAAAAGGAAACTTTATATCAGCACCATGAATGGCAAGGCAGCATCACTAGCCACAAATAGAGAAGCAAAAATAAATTGATGATGCTGGTTGAATGTGTCTGGTGTTCTAAGCAGGAAGACCAGCTTGCACAGCTTTGGTAGCAAGCCCACCACATTTTGGGGGACTCTGGACAGCCTGGGGGCATTCAGGACCCCTCAGGCCAAGGAGTCCATAGAGTTCATCCCTACCTAGGCACCCTCCTCCCTCAGCACACAGGGTGGGAAGGGGAAGACTCACAGGTCGAAGATAAGGTAGTGGTGCCCCTCCTCAGAGATGCTGTCATGGAGTCGGACTGTGGGAGGGGCCAATGCAGCTGGTTACACAGGAGTACACCGTTCCCCACCCCTACCAACTCTTCACACTCCTGTAGCCAGCATCCCAACCCTCAGTCCCTGAGCATAAACTTGGATAAAGGCAGGTAGAAAGGGCTCACTGCACCAAGACCTCCAGCATTACTGAAAGGGGACTGGGCTTAAAGACCGAAGACCTCCGTCATGTCAGTTTGGTCCCCTCATCCTGCTTCAACCCTCTGTTTCATTTCTGGGCAAGCCAGAGTGGTAGAAAGAGCCTGTGGTGCTAGTCTCTGCCTGGCTGTGTGGCAACAGACAAGTTGCTCAGCTTTCTGAGGTTCTCTTTTCCTTGCCTTGACTTGGAGGTTTGTTCTGAGAGTTTTAGAAGGTTCATAGCCATGCCCACTTAGTTCTGGCCCTGGATTGACAGCCTTGCTCTGCTCCCAGGGCTGGGAGATAATAGAGCTCTGGGGCCTGGGGTGAGAGAGACAGCAGTTGGTCCCTGAATTCTGATGACTGCAAATCTGTCATCTCGTCACACCTCATTTACCAGGAACAGAGGCAAAGCTCCCAGGAGCCTAGAGCTCCCCAAATTACTCAGCTTTTAAAAGGAAAGGTCTGCAGCCTGAGACTGACACTGGGAACCACATCCTATCAGCCAAGAATCAGTTCTCACTAATCAGGGTACCCATCTTGCCCTATGTGACAGTCTAGACCATCCTTGGAGGCAGGGTGGCTGGGACAATTCGGATCTGTCTGCACAAAGAAGTCACACAGCTGCTGGAATAATGTGGCAGTCATCACCCTCTGGTTCAGAATTATCTCCAAATGGTTTTGTTTGGTGAAAAAGCAAAGTGCAAACTGCGTTGTTCTTTCTAAAAAGAATTCATTTGGGGCTGGGGAGTTGGCTCAGTGGTTAAGAGCACTGACTACTCTTTCAGAGGACCTGGGTTTGATTCCCAGTATCCACATGAAGGCTAACAACTGTCTGTAACTCCAGTTCTGGGGGATCTAACACCTTCTTCTCACCTCCATGGGCATTTCGTGACACAGGTGCACTTAAACACATGTAGGCAATACACTCATACACACAGTAGATGGACGTGCACTGGGGAATGGCTGGGTGAACTGACAGTACAGTGGACAGTAACAGGGATGACAGAGTATATGGGCTCCAGTGCAGGGGGGCGGGGTGGGGAGCAGGCTATGGGAAGGTACCATTTGGGATGCAGGTATAAAGATGAATAAGATTGTTTGGGATGTTCTGTATGAAATATGCGCACACACAATCAATCAATTAAAAATGAGTTATATTTGAAAAAAAATTTTTTTAAAGGATGTGTTTAGCCAGCCATGGTGGCACATGCCTTTAATCACAGCACTTGGGACACACACACACACACACACACACACACACACACACACACAAAGGAAAAAAATGATGTATGGCATAAGTCTTTCTGGAAAGATGCAGAGAAGTGGGTGACATGGTACCTGTGGGCAGTGTGCTGTGGGGGAAGCTCCCTTTTCACTGGAAACCTAGTATCACTGGATGTGTACCAAGGGCCTTGAGCTCTGACTCAGTATTGAGCCCTTGAGTGGCTTATGGTTCTAAGATTTACACATAAACTTTGGAGAGTAGACTGAGAGGCAATTCCCAAGTGGGTCCCAAAGGACAGGAGATGGCCATCAAAGAAGATGATGGAGGCATAGATTTAAATGAAAATGTGAAGACTTTTGTTCAGTTCCCCTAAAAGAAGTCAAAGTTGGCAATGTCACTTAGTGGTAGAGCCCTTGCCCAGCATTCATAGGACTCTGGGGTCAATCCTCCGTACTGCCACACACAAAAGAGTCAAACATATAGTTAGGTAAACACCATCTGTCCATCATTTGCATTCTGTTGCTAGTGTCCAGTGTTCCCTACAGCTTTGCTGCATTTCTATTCATTTCTCTGTCCATTGGTATCTTTTGATTTTTTTTTTAGTGCATGTTAAAGTAAATACAGGCTAAAATTTAAATGTACATGTGTTTAACTGTATTTTTTAGTTATTGAATCCTGCAATCCTCTATCAGTGTCCAGCTGAGAATTCCTTTAGTCTTCACACAACCATCTCCAGGAGCTAGGCATGCCAGTTGCCCACAGCACCTAAAGCTCTGCTTCTAGAAGTCCCAATAAGAGTGTCAGTGTGCCTGCGAACAACCGTGTGCCACATTCCTGGTTGACGGTGCAGGGTGAGTTTGTTGAAGATACTTTGAAAGTGTTTGTCTTCATACTGTAATCAACTGGCATTACTAGGGAATCAGAGTCACGCATGAGGTCTCCATCTTCCCACGAGTGGACCACATCTCTACTCTGGGAGGAAGTGGTCTTTACATCCCTTTCCTGAGTGTAAGAAGCTCAGAGCATCCAGATCCACCTCAGGAAGAGCTTTCAGAAGTAGGTCAACAGTCCTTTGGAAGTGGTCGGGGAAGACTGGGGTCTTAGACCCACCCTCTGACCAGATGCTCTGACCCTGTAGAGAAAGTCCTCAGGGCTTAGAGAACAGAGTTGGGAGGGGTTTCTCTGGGTTAACTCTTGATGGATGGTACCTTGGAACTATTATAACAGGCTGCCTCTGAGCTACTAGGTCTGGGCACATGGGCTAGTTTCAAGCACCATTTGGGCAGTACACTACCTGGGAAATGGTACTGGAGTTGGCTTCAGTCCCTGAGGTGGCGTAGAATCAAATCTTGGAGCCCAAGAGCTGAGCCTGCTGCCTGCAGCACTCTGCTCACTCAGTCTCCCCTCCCAGCCTGGAGGCAGCTGAAGGCACCCCAGTCAAAGCCCAAGGACAGACAAGATTCAAGGGTCACAGCTGCAGTAACTGTCCTTCCCATAAGTGACTGTTGTCTATGTCTGTGAGCTGGGGTCACTTTTGACTTTGTTGGTGATTGTGGTAGTGGTTTGTTATGAGATAGACTCTCACCCTGCACCCTAAGCTGGCCTCAACTTCCTGAGTACTAGGATTACAGGCATGAACCACCAAGCCAGCTCAGACATTTTACAATTCTGTCATAGAACAAACAAATCACATGACTGTTATCCTAGAGGCTAAGGCAAGAGGATCATGAGTTTAAGGCCAGCCTGGGCTATATAGCAAGACTCTAACTAAAGAATTAATTAAAGATCCCAAATCTATCACCTAGTTTTCATTTATAGATAGTCATGAAATTTTAACATGCCTATGGTATTTCCAGTGGTCACAATTTTTGCCCTGGAAATTGAAAGGTAATATTTATTTTCTTCCCTATGTGTCCCCTGACACCACACTTGGAGTACCCACCTGGGGATGACTGAAAAAGTGGGCCCTGGAGTCAGACTTCCCAAGCTAATCCTCAGGCTCCATATCTAATAAGCTATGGAACTTTGGGTAAATGACTTCACCTTTGAACTATGTTTTTCACAATAGTGTTAATAACATTGAACTGCTATGGGGAACAAAGGTGGTGGTTCTTATAAAGCATTTGGTCCAGTGCTTGGTGCTAGAAAGAGCTCAATACGTGAAGGCCTTGTACTTCCCTTCCTTATCCCAAACTACCTTCTAAACTCTCAGATCCTGCCTAGTTCTGTTCAAGTTTCACACACCCTAGAATGGCCTTTTAGGGTCAGCCCATCACGGGATGGGTGATGGCACCACCCTCCCCCAAGCAGGAACCAGGCAGGGAAAGGTCTGCACACACAGCTGGACCAACTTGTGCTGAGCCTGGGCACTCCCTGCCTGTTGCCCTTGAGGCAGGGCATTAGCCACAAGCAGAAAGCAGCCTGTCACCTTGCCTTGACTTGCCAAGTATGCTGACTAGGATCTCTTGAGGTTTCTCCAGGCATTATGTCCTCTGAGCTCCTGCACCCCATCTGCACCTCCTTATGCTTCTCTGGCAAGGCTGCACCAGTTTAGGGTGAGCTGCTGGGAGGACCAAGGTCAGGGGCATTTTGAGGGGCTCTCTAGTTCCTCTGAGGTTCCCCTGGCTGCATGCTCAGCTCTGCTCCCCAGAGTCCTCGGCTCCAGTCATACCCATGAGCACCTGTCCCCACCCTCATTTCTTCCAGCAACCTGAACACCTGGCAGAGCCCTGGGTATGTAGTAGAGCTGCCAATGAACTTGACATTAGGTGAACGAGAAGCAAACGGCTCCTAAGTAACAGTGGTAAAGATGGTAACTGTGGATCCTGAGCTCTTATACCTCACCAGCATTTTACAGGGCATCTCCTTGATGATGCAGAGCAATGGCAACCACTTGGGGTCTCAGGCAAAGCATGTCTTCTGGGGAGATCGTGCTGTGGGAAGGGGCAGACTGGGGCACAGGGTGGCTGAGTGGCTGAATGCACCTGCCTCAACTTTGCTCTATGCTTTATTGAATCATCACACCCAGCGAGGCAGGGATAAATTTCATCTTCCAGAAAAATCTGAGCTTCAGAGTAGGATGCAGCATGCCTAGGGTTGGTCACACAGCAATGAAGTATTGTCTAAGCTGCAGTGTGTCACCCCACAACCCATATGCTTCCCATTATAGCTAGGGAGAAGGACACAGAGAGGAGCAGCATTGACCTCAGACAGATCAGCTGCAATGGCACAGTTGCGTGCACACACACACACACAGCACTGACCCAAGACAGATCAGCTACAAGAGCATAGACCCACATACCTGCATGGGTATACACATGACACACAAACAGAGCAACACAGAGGCAGAGAGAGAGAGAGAGAGAGAGAGAGAGAGAGAGAGAGAGAGAGGGAGGGAGAGAGAGAGAGAAAGCAATGTGTTAAGAATTTGAGACCAACAGAAACACACACACTCAAACATACACATGTACACAGGCATATACACACAGACACACACACCACATGTGTGCCACTCTCCTCCTCCCAAGTTGACAAGCCTCCCTGAGAACATGGGATTTCTGAAACCCTCCATTGGCAGTGGGGACTTGGAGGGGCCAGGTTTACAGGACAGGGTCCAGCTACTCCTCTTCCAGCTATTGTGGCCTCTTCTCTGCTACTGGCCTGCCTCTGGCTGCTGTGCGGGAGGGGAAGGGGCTCTGGTATAAATAGCAGTTCGTGCCTTCTCTCAGAGGAAAGTTAACCCTCTGGGCTCAGTGCAGGAGAGAGGCTCCCCTCCATGGGGAGAAGGCGCAGCTGCAGCTGTTGGATCTGGAGCTCCCTTAGAGAGCTCAGAGACAGTGCACATCAAAGCATGCTTTGGGAGCCAGAAGTCTCAGTTCCCCTACTGTGGAAGGAAGCCCTGAGAACACCTCAGACCCACAAGACAGAAGCTACCTTGACACAAGGTGTCCAGGTGCCTAGAGAAGGACAAGCACTGGTAAAGATGGGGAAGTGGCTCAGGGTCAGCTTTCCCACCAAGGTCACTCAGCCAGTCCCTGACAGAACAGGACCTAATAGCCTTGCTCCTCCCTGACTGGCAGGGATCTGCATGCCAGGTGCACAGGAGCAGAAGGGGCAGCCAGGCAGCGAGATGTTTCAGGACCCTCTCCTCTGTGCTGACAGCTTGGCTCTGTCCTACTCTGGACCAAGCCTCTTGGGCAGATTGCCCTCAGTCTAACCCTCTGGCAGAGACCATGCTTCTAGAAAAGCAGGAGGCAGGACTTTGGAGGTGGGCAGGGCCAGGAATCCAGGCTGACCGCAGCATGGGATGGGTATCAGAGTGGGCCTTGCTGGTCAAAGCCAAGCTCCCTCCTGGCCTATTTTCATCTTCCTTGCTTCAACTTGAGGAGCTTTCCTGAAACAGCTTTTCCGAAGGAGGCTGCTGGCAGTGTGGGAGGAGAGGAAGGGTCCTTTCTTCACCCTCCCTCAAAGCAAGCTGGTCTTGAGCTGTGTGGAAGCCACGTAAGACACCCCCTCTCCCACCTCCCTCTGCAGCTCCATCTCCAAAGAAGAGAGCTGATCCCCGCCACCCTACACTGTGCCAGGGCCCCTCACACACTCCCAGGGCTCACCAATGTTGGGATGCTTCAGCAAGCGGCAGATTCGGGCCTCGCGCTCCAGCTTCTGATGGTCTGAAACACATATGCCCACATAAGACCCAGGAGGGATGACCTCACCCTTCCTCTAGTAGGGTAACCCAGGATTCTAGAAAAGGTGGCCTTCGAACCAGGGTTTCTGGGTTCTCAGAAAGGACACAGGTGGTAAAACCCAGATGACCCCTCTCCTCCCAGTCTCTGTCTCCAGGGTTCTCCAAAGACAGCCTTCTCCAACCCCTTCTGTAGGAGAAGGCCCAAGCTCTCTGAAGCCTGGGGCCCCTGTGCAGCTCCTGCTGTGCTTTCTTCAGGCCTGCTCCCAACCCTAGCTCCAGTCAGGTGAGCTCCTGAGTTTTGCCCTTCCCAGCTCCACTTTGGAAGTAAGCGGTTCACTCAGCAGGAACACCCTCTCACTAACCATCACTCGATCGTACTGCCCCTCAATATCACTGGAAGCCCACCCTGACCTCAAACCTGACACTGACCTCTGGGCTCCTGAGGCTCAAACAACATCTTTATGTTGGAATTTATGACCTTTGGCATAATTCAGTAATTAATGTTTGAGCTATCTAAAAAAAAGTTTAAGGAAAAACGTCTAGCAAATGTGGAATAGAGGTATCTTTTAACCAGAATGCTTGTGACCAGAGACCAGAAGTGTTTGAGATTCTGGATTGTAGAACATCTGCGTATACATAATGAGCTGTCTTGGGGATGGGACTGAGGTCTACCACAGAGTGTATCATGTGTCACATACCCTTGATGTATGTAACCTGAGGGTAATTTAATATATATGCTGCAGAGGTGAGTGCCTAGAGGTAATTTTATATGATATTTTTCATAATTTTGTACATGAATCTTAGTTTTCCATGGAGGGGAATGTTCCCTTTAGAGCATCACATCAATTCTCAGAGCCTGGACTTTTGAGTTGAGATGTCCAACCTGTACCACCAGGTGCCAGGCACCACATGGCACGTTTGCATATCTTTTCAGCAGTCCTTTGAGGGGGTACCCACATTTTTCAGGCTTCACAGAGGAAGAAAAGAATTCTTAAAGGTAAGTAACCAGTTAGACTGTGTGACTTAAGCTAGACTCTAATCCCTGTGGCTGTACTGTTCTCCACGTCCCCACTCAGAGTCACCACCTCTACCTGCCTGTGTCCCAGTGGGAAAGTGGGCCCACAGGAGGATCTTCATGCTCCAGTCAGAGGCTGAGCCAGGCCTAGAAACCCATCACAGGAAGGCCCCTACACAGCAGGTGGGTACCTGGAAGGTGATGAGGATGAAGAAAGCTCCTCTTTTCCCTGCTTCCACCACTAGAACAATCATTGGCTGCCCTCTGTGGACTGCAGAAACCAAGATCAATGTTGAAATGTGGTTTTGCCATCAACAAAACAATTAAGAAGCCCAATTTTGCTTCCATAGACTCAGTTCTCTAGCTGAAGACCTGCTGCGAGCTTCAAGGAGCATAGGGCCATGGTGGGCCCACATCTACTCCTCCCTTCCAGCCTTCTTCAGCATCCTCCAAGCAGGAGGTGCTGATTCCTAGACAGGCTATACACTCAGAGATATGGGATGCAAGTCCAAATCTAGGTTGTGGTATCTTCTGCATGCGAGGTTACCCAGGAGCACAGGTTGTCCACCGACAACAAAGAGGAAAATGCTGGTCGCAAAACCTTAAACTCTGTCTGACTACCGTACCTCCCTGCTGGAACCACAGGAACCCTTGTTCCTAAAAATCTAACACCAGCCACCCTGAATTGTGACTCTCCCTATTAACTTCCCCATCTGTTGCATGTAGACATATACATTATGTAGAATTTCATAATCCTGATTATAGAGTTTTCATTTTGTAATGTACTGAGAGGCTCAAGACCTATAGAGACCAAGTTCCCTTGACTTTTCTTGTTCTGTTGTATAGAAAGGAAAAGTGAGTCCCAGTGATAAAGGAATTGTCCCTTTATCAGCATCACTGGTCAAGGTAGCCAAACCCTTTCAGGAACTCTGAGGACACCACTTCTAAACTGACTCAAGTCCCCATCCTAGCCAGTTATCTATGGCAGTCAGGTAACTTTTTAAAAGTATAAATGAGAGGCTGTAGAGATAGCTCAGTGGTTAAGAGTTCTGACTGCTCCTGCAGAGGACCTGGGTTCAGTTCCCAGCACCCACATCATGACTAACAACCATCTGTAACTCCAGTTCCAGGGGATCCAATGCCCTCTTCTGACCTTTACAGGCATTGCATGACATGGGTGTACTTACATACATGCAGGCAAAACACTTATACACATAACATAAAAAATAAATAAATAAATAAAAATTTAAAATATGAGCAAGGATCTACCACTCCATGTCAGATGGATCAACAGCTTCCTAATACATTTGTAACAGAGTCCAAAGTCCTTATCCCAGTCAACCAGAGAGAAGCCCAGCCACACTCACCTCCTTTCTGGCCTCAGGCATACCATATTCCTTCTCACCTCAGGACCTTTGCCCTTGTTGTACGCTCTACCCCTGTTCTTCCCCTGGGTTTTATCAGCCTGCCTCCCCCTTCTCAGACAGGTCTCAGCATAGCTCTTCCTCAGAGAGCTTCTGTGGCTTACAGCATCTTCCTTCTGACTTTCTTCATAGCCTTCCTCACTTCTTTATCTAGCTGATGCGCTTTTCAGTCTCATTCCCAAGAAAACAGGCCCAGTGGGAGCAAGATCTTGTCCACTGGTCACTGCCATGTTCCTGGGGCCTAACATCTAGTTACAGAGCAGCTTGCCAAAGCTCCCAACACAAGCCACCAGTGGAGCTAAATGTCAATTCCTGCTCATAATCTCTACACTGATGATGAATGAGTGGGCAGCTCAGTTCCTCCAGCCCAATAGTGCCAGCCCACAGTGGTAAGATGTCCCAGGGAAGTTTAGAATCTCCACACCCTGCCTGGTGCCTGGGAGCATGGCCCCTAATGTCCACAATGACATCTTGGGGACTTTCATCCCATTCCAGTGGTTGAGTCATCCTTAGGATATTGAGGCTAAGTTGGAGACAGACCGTCCCAGCAGGGCTTGGTAGGGCCAGAGCTACAGCAGCACACAGACTACAGTGCTCTGCCTCAGGTTCCTACAAGCAGGTGAGCACAGGATTCTAGCAAGAGGGATGATGAGCACAAGTTTGGAAAGCAAGAAAGGCCCCTCCCCGGAGGGCTCAGTAGAGTATGGGGAAAACAGGCCTGAGCCTCAGAGCCCCCTGGGGCACCCTTGTAGGAGACTCAGTGAAGCTGGGGGTGGCCCAGGAGCCTTGCCATGCTTTCCTTGTGGTGTGAAGAGCCTGTGTCACCAGAGGCTGCTCTGAGCACCAATGGAGCCTGGAACTTGAGGAGGCTTCAAGCCAAGGCCACTGTACCAGCCACATCTGTTCTAGAGCCCCTAGGAGGTCCACAGAGCACCTGGTAGGGGCCAGCCCTGAGTCTGGGGCTGCCATCTGCTGTGCCAGGAGTTTTGCTGTGTAGGAGCCTCACTGATGAGAGAATTCAACCCCAGGGTGGAGCTCAGGCAGCTGCATTTTGTTTTTAAGGCTGGAAAGGGGAACTGGCAGGGATTGGGACAGGCAAAATTTTTACTTTTCATTTTATTTCTTTATGGTTTCTTTGAATGACACTATGAGGTTTTGTTCTCAAAGATTAGTTTTTAAAATGCATGTAAAAATAACTCCTGGATTTGGGAAGCACTCGCTAGAAGAGTCCAGGCAGGGTGGGCTTGGGGAAGCCACAGCTTGCTGGGAGGGGTGGGCAGAAGCCTGGGTGGGCCCTACTCCTGCTGAGAACTGCTGGAAGTCACCCCAAAGAGCCAGCAGGAGAAGTTTAGAGTGTATTCCCAAAAGTATAGCTTTGAGGACCCCTGTGGAGATACAAACAAAGAGACCTGCTACAGGAAGCTCTGCTCTCCGCCCAGCAGTAGAAGAGAACTGGCAGGTGGCTGGCAGACTTGGAGAATGTTCTGATTCCCCTCCCCTGCTACTAGTCTCCTAGGCCTGGTCACCTTCCTCCCAAGAGGTCAAGAACTCAACACAGATAGCTGGAAATAAAGGGCTTGGACAGAGGCTTCCTGACACAGCCAGTCTTCACTGTCTGAGAATGCTTAGTCACCTTCCCAAACAGGAGTGATGGCCTATCTGCTCTCCTGTAATCTCTCTCTCTCTCTCTCTCTCTCTCTCTCTCTCTCTCTCTCTCTCCCTCCCCTTATCACTACCATTTCTGTGTCTTTTTTTTATTGTGTGTGTGTCCCCTGAGATGGTGGTGAACTGGTCCAAGAACCCCAGCATCCAGAAAGATTTCTCTTCTTGGTAATCCTCTTGGGGCACCACTTGGCCTGTCATAACTCTAGCCCTGTCTCCAGTGTCTCAGGAATTGAGATACTTGAGATTCCTCCCTCGACCACTAGAGAGGACACCAGACAGACTGCCAGCAAAGGATGGCAGCTCCAGGCCTGCCAACTGGAGACGGCACTCCAGCCAGCCTTCCTGCCCTCCTGGTCTCTTTGCCTCTGGCTCTGGCTCCAGACAGGCCTGGCCTTTTGACACTAATCATGCCAGATGGGGGCCCTGGGCCTCAGAGACCCCCTGAATGGAGCCTCTCCTCTCTGTAGGATCAGGAAGGTTGGTAACTAGAGATAGCATTGTAGGCCAGGCAACTAAGCTGGAGACCAAAGGCAGCAACCACAGGCCAGCCCAGGGCCTGCTGGGAGGCCCACAGTGAACAGTGTGAACACCCTGTACAGTGCTCACTAGATCTCTACGAACCTGCAACGCTGGGCCCTCACCCAGACGCAGCAGCAGCCTGTTAAACACCTAGATACTATGCCTCTCTTCCACTGTGTCTACACCCACCCCACCCAACAGAATTCTTCCTGTACCAGACAGCCTTCAGGGCAGTCCATGTATGTTGTTCCATTTGGGGTGGATATTGACTTTGAAGGTAACACTCTCCGATTTTGGTCACCTACTACTGTGCCAAACACATGGGAGTGGCCAGGAGCCTCCTGGGAAGACTCCCTGGGAGTCCAGTGTCCCTATGACTTACCTGGGTACCTTGTTAAGATAGATGTAGGTTCAAGTTTCAAGTGTTAGGTCCCATCTCCCGGGGATGCTGCTGCTACTGGCCAGGACTATTTCTAAAGGCTGAGGTTCCCAAAGCCTCTGCAAGCTAGAATTAGCTGGGAATCCAGGCCATACCTCAGACCACCTATTCAAGTGTAGTGAGTGGACTGGAGTGATAGGAGCAGAGCCACCCTAAGGCCTCATGAGGGCACTGTCCTGGGTGCTGAGCAGAGTAATGAGTTCTGATCACCCTGTTGCAGCTCACATTCGATGTAAACCCGGGAGTGAACACAGAATCAAAGTGGCAAACAGAATGCTGAGAACTCAGGGAAAAGCCACGTGGAAAGAAAGAGCAAGAGAGAGAGAGAGAATGGAGACCTGATGCAGGGGAGAGGGGTGGTCAGGGAAACTGCTCCAGGATGTGACCAGGAGTGGAGATGGGAGAGGAGGCAGGGCTGGCCATGTGAGGAGCCAGATCAGGCACTCAGGTGGAGAGACTGCTAAGGTAGAACTCGGGCAGCCAAGAAGCGGGTGGCAGAGGTGCAGGGAGAGGGTGTCACATCAGCTGCCAGATCTATCTGGGAAAGGCTGCCGCCCAGCCTGGATTCCTAGAGGAAGGAAATCAGAAGGGTCTATTGTCATCACACTTAGGAGAAAGTGCCTGCAGATCTGCTGACAGTGTCTTCCAGGGGCCAGGCTTGGGGCCTGGGTCTACGGCAAGACCTAAGGGAGGGAGGGAAAAAGAGCCGACAGTGAGCAGGCTCAGCCCCGCACCTACCTCTGGCCGAGAGCTTCTTGGTGTTGATGATCTTGGCAGCATACTCCTGGCCAGCCAGCACCTTCACACACCTGCGTACCACTGAGAAGGCTCCCCTGGAGGACAGAGAAGGCAATGTAAGGGGCGGCCAAGGACTGAGTCCCCAGGGAACCCAGAGCTCCTGCAGCTACACCATGTGGGAAGGGAGCCCTCCATTGGAGCCCCCTATGTCATAGGGGCTGCTGTGGCCTGACTTAGGACAGCACAGATCAGGGAGATTCAGAGAGGGGCCCAGAGGCCTGGTCTTGTGCCAGATGAGCCTTCTAGTTCCGTGAAAGTTAGGTCACCAAGTTATAAAGCATTAGAAGCCTGGAGTGTTAGAATCACAGAATCTAGGTCTCTGAACATCTTTAGATTTTTGTTCTTTGAGCAGGTAATACATCAACATAGCTCAAAGTTCAAAGAATGCAAAAGGATAGACAATGAAAAGCCCTTCCTCCATTCTTGTGCCCCAGCCTCTGAGAGCCCCTCCGCTGCGGCCTCTGCTGCTGGGACCTAGAGTCTCTTTCTGCAGATGCTTCTGGTATTTGGCACTGGACTACATAGACATGCTGTTCATTTCCTCCTTTGTGCATCAATATATTTTGAAGATGCTCCTTCATAGCATAACAGAAAGCTCATTGTTATATAACATGTAATTGTATGACTGCCCTATACTCTAGTGACCTGGCCAGTCCCCCATTAACATTCCCTGTTGAAGGGCAACTGGGTTAGGCCCAATCTCTTGCTATTAGAAGCAATACAACAATAACCTTGTATGTGTGCATTAGAGTTGCATTTTCCATGTGTGCCTGAGTCCTCGCATTAGTGGATTTTGGTCAAGGGGGTGGGTAGTATTTGGCAATTTTGATTAATGAAGAAATTTCATAAGCTTATTTTCCCAAAAGGGTATGTTATAGTTTGAATCTGACTTGGCCCCTTCTGGCCTGTGTTTTGAATGCTTGTTCCCCAGCTGGTGGCACTATTCGGGGAGGCTGTGGAGCCTTTAGGAGATGGGGCATGGCCGGCAGAAGTCAGCCTCTAAAGCCTGGCCTTTGAAGTTTACACCTAACCCTGGAATCCAGCCTTGATCTCTGCTTCCTGGTATGTCATGATGTGAACAGATCACATGCTGCTTCCACCATACCTCCCCACCCAGAAAACACTGAAACCGTGAGCCAAAATAAAGCTTTCCTCCATGAAGTTGTTTCTGTTAGGTATTTTGGTCACAGCAACACAAAATCACTAATATAGGATATGAGGTGACTAATTTCCTCTGTCTGTGTCAGAACAGTATATTGTCAAACTTTTTTATCTTTGCTAGTAAGAGCGGAAGGAAAGGGAAGTTTGGTATAGATTCAGTTGGGTGCATGAATGTGTGGTGTGTGTGTGCATGTACGCATGTGTGTGGTATGTGTGTGGTACGTGTGCATGTGCCTATGCCCAAGTGAGCACATATGCAGGCTAGAGTAGGACATTAGGTGTCTCTCTCTGCCTTTATTACTTTGAGACACATGGTCTCTCTCTGAACCAGAAGCTGGACATTTCGGCTAAGCTGGCTGGCCAGCAAACTCTCAAGATCCTCCCCTCAGTGTTGGGTCCACAGGCATACACAGCCATGCCTGCTCTTTATGTGGGTTCTAGAGATTGGAACTCAGGTCCTCACGCTTGCAGAACAAGCACTCTTACTTACCAAACCCCCAGATTCAGTTTTTAATTGTCATATTAAGAGTAAGGCTAAACATCTTTTTACACGTTTTAAGTAGCTTCTGAAATTTTATCCTCAAAGTATTAGTGACAAGCAGAGAACTTGGGGCAGAAGCTATGGGTTTCAGAGCTCACAGGCAGGAAGTGACTGTTGTCAAATGTAATGGGGCTTGTTTCCATTTTGTTCAGTTTTTCAAGGAAAACATCTGGATATTGAGAAATTCACAATTTATTTTATTTATTTTTAGTTTTGTGTATGAATGTATTGCCTGCATGTATGTAAGTGCACCTGTGTTGTGCATTGCCTGTGGAAGTCAGAAGAGGAGGATGTTAGATCCCCTGGAACTGGAGTTACAGATGATTATTAGTTGCCATTTGGGTCCTGGGTCCTCTGCAAGAACAGCCAGTGATCTTAACCACTGAGTCATGGCTCCAATTGAAATTCACAATTTTTAATGTTGACTTTATTTCAAAAGAATTTGAATACAGAGTCAAACAAAACTAGTCTGAGGGCTAGATCTGGGTTTGGGATGCCATTCTGCACTCCTTCCCATAAAGACCATCTTGTCAACCTCTCATGTCACAGAGGAGGCTCCTGAGGGACACTGTATCACCACCATTACTGTCTTCTCACACACTAATGACCAGAAGGGAGATCCTTGGAAGACTTTCCAGAAACTAACATTTGTATAACTCATCCAGCACCTTGCAAAAATGCCAGTTCAGATGCTGCATGTGTAGAGTGGGGCTCAAGACGCCAAGTGCAGTGTGCAGAGCTCCGTGTAGACCACTCAGGCTTACGCAGCAAACTATGAGCAGAGCTGCCACTAGGCCTCAGATATTTGCACTTAGAGGTTTTTGACTCCCACGAGTGAGCCTCCCACTTCCTGCTGCTGGCCACACCCAGTTCCCAACACAGTTGCACCCCAATATAGCTCCAAACTTCCACCTCCCACCTAAGATGATGGACAGGTCCAAGTCTGAGAAGCCTGCCTGGGATCTCTTCCCTTGCAAGAAAGAGCAAGACTCCAGTCACATCCCATCAGCAATCCCAAACAGTACTGGCCACCAAATACGGGCTGCTTCTTTCATGTCAACCAGTTCTCTTGCTGACTGGGACCAGTTTGGTGTCCTGTAATTCAGTTATGAATACCACCTAGAGTTAGGACAGATCTACAGGTTAAGGTTTCCATTCTACAAAACCCTCACTTCAGGTACCAAATATAGAAAGTGGGTCCACAGGTTACACACACTTCTATACAACTTTGCTAGCAATCAGGTATTCTTACCTCCCTCTCAGATTCAAGAATTATCTATGGTGGCTCACAGAACTCAGGAAAACACATTTTTCAGTTTGTTATACAATGAATGGCATGATGAGGAACACAGATGAATAGCTGGGTGAAGGGGTTCAGAGGCCAAGGCCTGGAGACCCAAGGACAGGAACTCGGCCCCTCTGGAGCCAGGGTATGCCACCCTCTTGTCACTTGGATGTCATCACCATCCCAGAAGCTGTCTGGATCCTATGTGTACAGGGTCATTGTGGAGACCTAATCACATGTAATCAGTTACTAACTTAGTCTCTAGCCCTCTCCTCTCTCTGGAGGTTGGAGGATGAGACTGAAGGCTCCAAGCTTCTAATCAGGGCTTGGTCTTTCTGGTGGATAGGCCCATTTAGAAACCCACAGTAAGTCACCTCATTAGAACCAGATTCTAGTATCTGGGAAGTCCCAGGGGGATTAAGAGTTGTGTGTCATGAATTGGGTGTTCCAGGGCCAAATATGAGAACAAAAGATGTTCCAGGTACCCGTCACTCAGGTAAGAAGGCTAAATGTGTAATTTGTACTCTGTCAGTCCTGGCCCGTTAGGCTAAGCTTCTCATTTACCTTCTTGTCTCTCCCACCCCGCCAGTGAGCTCCTATGACCAGTACTTAGTACCTAGCACTTCCAGTACCTAGCACTTAGCACCTAGCACTTCCATTAGCACCTTCATAAGCAGAACTTGCAGGAGCAGGATCTAAGCAACAGTGAGGGGAATTTCAGTCAGGGGTGTTGGCGACAGGAATAGGCATTTGATGACACTAGGGGACAACTGGTCTCTCAGAGGCATCTATCTCACCTAGGCAGAGGAATGGGTCTGAAAGCCATTAAGTTCCTGCCCAGCTGCCGAGTTTGATTCCCATGAGGCCCCAGGGGAAAGTGTTTCAAGTGGCTTCATCTGGGAAGGCTCTGCGCACTCCCAGAGAGGAGGAAGCTGCAAGGTGCTTGGATTGGCTGGGCCTTTCTCACCAGCACCTGACCATGGAGGGTCCATAGCTGGAGCACAATCAGTATGTGTCAGGTGGATGGAAGGATGGAAAGAATGAATTCAATTGCTGCATTCAGAAAAAACAAAACTCCACAAGACTTTAGAACAGGGATTGGGAAAATGGCTGCTACGATGCTGCCTAGGGGAAGCTTTTAAAATAGATCCCAGTGGCTAGATGTGGAACACAACTCTAATACCAGCATTCTGGAGGCTGAGGCAAGAGGACCATAGTTTGAGGTCAGCCTAGGCTACACAGTTTGACTCTGTCTCAAAAACATAGGGACTGGAGAATGTAGCTCAGGAGGTGGATTGCTCACCTAGCATGCACAAAGCTTTGGGCTCAATCCCCAGAACCACATAAACCCAAGCATGGTGGTGCACTTGGGAGGTGGAAACAGAAAGATAAGGAATTCAAAGTCGTCTTCAGCTACACAGAAGAGTTTGAGGTTAGCCTGGGATACATGAGACCCTGTCTCAAACATACATACAGAGAGAAGAAGAGAGCGAGAGTAAGAGAAAGAGAGAGTTAATTCAAGGTCCCACCCAGGCCTGCTAAATCAGCATCAAATTGCCCTGCGTGGGGCACTAGGAATCTATAATTTTGTTTTAACTCCCTATCCAGGTTATTCTTTCTTGTCCCATTACACATTTCACTTCTCCTGGAATCAGCATCTGTGGGGGCCAGCGTACAGGCTCTGTATAGAGCCTATGAATTTGGCTCTGTCCCATGGGAGCTGAGCCCCTGGAGGACATCCTGAGCATGTTGTGCATGGGCAGAGATGCAGAGCCCCGGTCCTAGCTGGACCATAAGCTTAGCATCTGATCCATTTCTGTCCTAAGAAGACAATGGCAGCATCTATCCTGGGTACTCTGGGAGTCTGGGTGAGGTGGCCAGTGCAGAGCACCTGGCTCAGGACAAGGCCCTCAGAGCCCACAGCAAACTAGGGGATGAAAGGGGCTCACTGGGGCAGGAGAGGGTCTGGACTAGGGAGCTCCTCTAACCCCTGCAGCTTTGGAGGAAGGCTCCTTGCCTGTCTCTCATGGCAGGGGATCAGGCAGATA